TAGACATATAGAGAAAGGTAGAGAGAAAGAGAGAGAGAGATGGAATAATAGATTTTGGAATCAACCGGAATGTTACTGTCCACGTTGTATAACTCCTGTCCATTCGCGAGTTGACATGAGTGACAGAATGACATGATAGAGTAAATACAGCCGTCAAAAGATGTGAATGTGAAGGTAAAATGACCTTTATGGTGCGTGTGTGTTTTTGTCATGTTTTTCTACACGTACGGAGAGAAATGACACTTCCCATGGAAACCTATGAACAAATAAACGAATCAATAAACGGAAACAAATAAAGACATGAATAAGGTAGGGGGAAAAAAGGGGGGGAATCGATATATGAATTATTAATAGATATCAGTAAAAGTGATGATATAGAAGTCATTTTTTTCATGTTATTTTCTCTGATCTTTTCACGCTTCATTTTCCTTTTTTTTCGGTCTTTTCCTGCACTGTCACCCCCAATAATTGCTTGCGTTTGTTTGTTTTGTTGTTTATCCTCTTACTTTTTCTCTCTCTTTTTTTTTTCTTTTTTTTATTGTGATTATGATTATGCTGTTGCTGATAAGGATGAGGATGATGTCAATGATGGTGATATTAACAGCAATAATGATATTGGTGATGATAAAGATATAATAGTAACAACAGTAATGATAATAAAAATAATAACAATGATAATGATGATGGTGATGATGATAATAATAATAATAATAATGATAGTGATAGTGATAGTAATAATGATAATGATAATGATAATGATTATGATAATGATAATAATAATATCAATATTAATGATAAATAATGGTTTTGGTAATAATCATTATGATGATGATTATGATAATAAAAAATGATTTTAACAACAGCAGCAACAACATCGATAATAAGGATAGCAATAATAATAATAAAAATGATAATGATACTAATCATAATAACAACAAATGATAATGATATTGATTGTGATGATAATAACAGAAATAATGACAATGATGTTAAGACGTTCATGATGATCATAACAATAATGATGATAATAATAACAGTAATAGTAGTCGTAGTAGTAACAACAACAATATCAACAATAGCAATTGCAATAACGTAATGGTGAAGTCTGTTCATCATAATCGATGTTAATTACAAAAATGATGATACCACAAATAACAACATTAAGTCCTGTATGATCATAGTCTTATAGGCAATGAAGAACTACATTTAATTATATTAAAACTAACCAGCAGAGGCGAATCGATTATAGTATTACAAGGTTTTATCTGCCTTTGTACAACTTATAATATAGAAATAATTCATATTAATTTCTTCCTTACAATGTTTTGATTTTAGAAGGGAAATATCAGATTGATTATATCTTACCGACTTAAACACATAACATTTTCTATTCCTCCGATCAAAAGAGAAAAGAAAAAAAAAAGAAAAAAAAAAAAAGTATATAACAATTACATCCAATCACAACACAAGAACTGCAGCCAATCGGCGCATTTCGGAAAACAGGAATCAGCAACTCGGTCATCCCTTTGACACGGTACTTATTACATGTTTCGGAAGTGAATTTTGTTGACAGTTCTGTGTTTCAGAATTCCCTAACAAAAATTCAAGTGGAATGGACTCTTAATGAAATAGTTACGGTCTTAGTGACGACAATAAATTCAGTGAAGCACAACAGAAGATTCGTCGAAGGATCGTCATCTTCCCAACTACCCTGCCCTAAAGTAATCGTAATCGTAAAGTAATCCCCAGTTTGTATCTTTAAATGTACAAAATATAGCAATGGCTGAAGTCCTTGGCTAGGGTTTTACGGCGATTTTGGAGGGTGATCGCCGGCTAAAAACACTGCTATCAGGAGGACGTTCAGAGGCGAAGATCCCGGTTAGAGAGAAAAAAAAGTGGAATTGGCAAGGGGTCTGGCTTCGTCCTCGGCTAGGGAAATAGGGTAATCGGAAGGGGGTATGGGTACGTCCCTGGCTAGGGAAATAGGGTAATCGGGAGGGGGCCCGGGGGTTAACAGGGTTTTTGGTTCACGCGGCAATCATTTTGCGTTTAGGATGAGTTTTTTTCGTTTGTGCAGCGTCACGTCGGGTCGAATCTTCCGTAACCGAGTCTTTTTTTTTATCATCTAATGTACTGTATTTGGCTCGTGTGTTTTTAATTTTCCAATTTCTCTTTCTCCATAAAGTGCCAGTTATCAGCTGATCTGACCATACCCCCCTCCCCTACACCAACCAAAAACTCATTATTTCCCAAGGCTTTCCCACGGGATCCCCTCAAGAGTGTTGACTGGAATGGCAGCGAATCGTCTTAAATTTTCAATGCTTTTAAGGAGTGAATTTACATTCGACATCATTGGCGTAAATTAAAATGTACCTAAATCTCTCTTATTTAAGTCCTGCCACCAATTGTGCCTCCAGTTTTCTTTCTTTTCTTCCTGCATCTCGTTTTCTTTCCCCGCCAGCCACCGAGCCTCAGCAATGAAGTTTTAGTGAAAGAAAACAACTAAAGCGTTTCATTAAGAATTGAAAGAGTTATGCCGATAAAGCTTAACGTTTATGATAAGTCACCGAGGATTAAAATTTATTAACCATTACGAGAAGAAGAAAAAAAGAAAAGAAATAATATTTCAAATACGAAATTGGTCTTGGTCAAATAGAAAAAAAAAACAACCATCTAAATAATTGAAACGACGAAGCAAAAAAGAAAGAGCATAAAAGATAAAAGAGAGAAAAATACAGATACAGCAATTTGGACATCTCAGATATTTATGGTTTGGGATCAATATCAATTAATTTCATAAAACCAAGATTTCTGGAATCTGAATTTCGTGAGATGAAAGGAAGAAAAAGGAAAAAAGAGAGAGATGTCGCTTACGATCCAATTTAGTGGAATCAGCCATTTCTAATCTTACTTAATATACTATTCATATAATCATTATCGAAGTTTTCCTTTTTTCATATTTCCTGTTCTAAATTTCACTGTTGTGTTTGTCTACTGATTCGCGATGTTCGGAAGCTCCATCTATCTATCTATATATCTAACTATCTATATCTATATCTATCTATCTATCTGTCAATTTATGTACATATATAAGAATAAGACGAAAAAGAAGAAGATAAAGAAGATAAAGAAGAAGAAAAAAAAAGTCCGTTATACTCTGGTGCATTTGAAACGGTCTCTCAAAACGGGGCTATTTTCGAATAGCAATTCCCAAAGACATTTCCATTATTATCCCCATGTAATTCGGGTGATTTTAATGAGAAGTTTGTTTTGGTTGTGCGCAGCTATTGCTTTTCCGAAGTCTTTCATCCCCACATTTTATTCAAAGTCGATTCCGGTGAGGGAAGGGGTAAGGGAGGAGGAAGGAGGAGGAGGAGGAGGAGGAGGAAGGAGGAAGGAGGAAGGAGGAAGGAGGAGGAGGAGGAGCAGGAGGAAGGAGGAGGAAGAGGAGGAGGAAGGAGGAGGAGGAAGGAGGAGGAGGAGAAGAAGAAGAAGAAGAAGAAGAAGGAGGAGGAGGAGGAGGAGGACGAGGAGGAGGAGGTGGTGGTGGTGGTGGTTCCTATATGCAAAGTGGATATCAACTTTTGGGGTTTTGATTTTTAATTTCGAGGTCAATTTCGAAGGGAGGGGGTAAGTAGGGGGGAAGGGAAGGAATAAAAGGAAGAAAGATAAAGAAAAGAAAAGAAAGAAAAAAAGGTGAGAGGGCGGCGGGAGAAAGGGAAATGCATGTGTAAGTAGGATAATGTGTATTTCGGATCTCACTGTCGTGTTTTTACTTTCCTGAGGATTGTTTTTTTCGATCTTGTTATTTTGTGACGTAGATTTACGAATTTACATTCATTACGACGTAGACTAAATCCAATAAGTGAAGAGAGAGAGAGAGAGAAAGAGAGAGAGAAAGAGAGAGAGAGAGAGAGAGAGAGAGAGAGAGAGAGAGAGAGAGAGAGAGAGAGAGAGAGAGAGAGAGAGAGAGAGAGAGAGAGAGAGAGAGAGAGAGAGAGAGAGAGAGAGAGAGAGAGAGAGAGAGAGAGAGAGAGAGAGAGAGAGAGAGGAGAGAGAGAGAGAGAGAGAGAGAGAGAGAGAGAGAGAGAGAGAGAGAGAGAGAGAGAGAGAGAGAGAGAGAGAGAGAGAGAGAGAGAGAGAGAGAGAGAGAGAGAGAGAGAGAGAAGAAGAATTTCCGAAATACCTTTTAAATTTTAAAGATATATAAACGTTGTACTTACCGGTACGAAGAGATTCCTAATAACCCAAATCATATAAAGAAATGTAATAAACACGCGCAAAATAAGCCAAAACCTCAAAATAGAAAACAGATAAAAGAAATAGAATATAGAAGCCAAAAAACAAAAACAAAAACAAAAAAACGAGAAAATAAAAAGAATATAAGTGTAAGAAATAGAAAAGAAAACAAAAATGAACATGCATTGCACTTGCTTAAGACATTGCACTTAATGAAATACTAAAATGGAATAAGCAACGAAGAACGGAATGAGAAACACACAGAATCAAAAGTGTAAATGATGATTATCATATGATGATGATAATTATGGTGGTGATGGTGATGATGATGATGATGATAATGATTATGGTGATTGTGATGATGATAATGATGATGGTGATGATAATGATTATGGTAATAGTGATGATGATAATGATGATGGTGATGATGATGGTGATGATGATGAGGATGATAATGATGGTGGTGATGGTGGTAATGGTGATGATGATGATGGTGATGATGATGGTGGTGGTGATAATGATAGCGATGATGGTGATGATCATGATGATAATGATGATGGTGATAATGATGGTGATGATATGATAATGGTGATGATATGATAATGGTGATGATATGATGATGATGATGATGAAGGTGATGATGATAATGATAATGATGATGGTGATTATGATAATGATGATGATGATGATGATAAGGATAATCAAAAACAAAACAGAAAACGAAATTATAATCACCACGCCGAGAGAAAAATTCCTACGCCTTACTCACCGACGACAGAAAGGTTGTAGAGCAGCCTGAGTCCCGCCTTGGTGCTGACTTGACACATGTAGGTGCCAGCGTCCTTCATGGTGACGGCCTTGACACTCAGCACCCACGAGTCGGCACCATTGGGGGTCACCGAGTGCCTGATGCCAACGCGAGGATTTCCTGTCACCACGTCCTCCTCCACGGTGAGCACAACGCCACGCAGGGAGTCTATCCAAGCCACCTGTGAAATCGATGAGAAGAGGGATAAACAGATGGATAAAAGGGAGGTGAAGAGAGAAGGATAAGGCACCTGTGAAATCGATGGGAAGAGGATAAAAAGATTGATAAAAAGGAAGCGAGGAGAGAGAAGTATAAGGCACCTGTTAAATCGATGGGAAGAGGATAAAAAAGATGGATAAAAGGGAGGTGAGAGAGAAGGATAAGGCACCTGTGAAATCGATGGGAAGAGGATAAAGAGATGGATAAAAGGGAGGTGAGAGAGAAGGATAAGGCACCTGTGAAATCGACGGGAAGAGGGATAAAAAGATGGATAAAAGGGAAGTGAGGAGAGAGAAGGATAAGGCACCTGTGAAATCGACGGGAAGAGGGATAAAAAGATGGATAAAAAGGAGGTGAAGAGAGTAGGATAAGGCACCTGTGAAATCGACGGGAAGAGGGATAAAAAGATGGATAAAAAGGAGGTGAAGCGAGTAGGATAAGGCTGTGAAATCGATGGGAAGAGGATAAAAAGATGGATAAAAAGGAGGTGAAGAGAGAGTGGGAAAGAATTAGGAGGAAAAGTAAAAAGAGGATTAGAATATAGTCAGAGGAACAGGATAAAAAGATGGATTAAAAAGGACGAAAGGAGAATTAAAACAGAATTAGGAGGGACAGAAAGAAGAGGGGATTAAAATATAATAAATGGAAAGGAAGGGATAGAGAAAAAAGAGGATGTAGACAAAATCGATGAAAAAAGGCAAAAGAAGATGGATAAAAGGAGATGAAAAGAGAGTAGGTAGGAATTAGAAGGAATTGAAAAGGGATTAATATTTTTTCAATTTTGCTTGACGTTTGGGTGGTGTTCGTGTATTCCCTTGCTTGCTTTGTATATATTTGTGCGTGAATGATTAATTATGAGCTCAATGTAACTCGTCTGTTGTATTTTAAACATCGTAAAACTCGATGAATTAATGATGTGTCTGGCACATACTCCGTTTTCTGGGAGGCTGTACCACACACTGATATGTACATTTGGAAAACGAAATTTCTTTACGTCCTTATCCCAACGTTTTCTTTTTGGTTTTATTTATTTATTATTTTTAAGCTTGGTAATTAATTCCCCTTCTATCTAAACAATATAAATTACTTCTTGTCTTATGTAAGTGACATAGTTGCAGAGAGCCTTCCCTCATCCATTGTTGTCGATTCTATATATATATATTTTTTCTTAACATATATCCCTTAGGGTTGATACCCCATCTTGTGGCCGCTCGCTGAACTAGATCCAGTTTATGGATATCCTTTGTATTCTGCAGTAAACCTTATGTTACGTCTGAAAATATAGGCTCCTACTTTCCTACTTTTGTTTGATAACGTCCTGTGAGTTCATAATTGTGTGATTTTTTTTTCAGCTTTTCTACCTAAATTCTACCAATTTTTTTTTACGCTTCTAATACGTATTGCTAATGGAGTCAATTTTTTTTCTTTCACTCCACATTCTAAGGACAACTCCCTTTGATCAGACCTTCATCAGACCGTAAAAAGTCTTCCCTTCCTTCAGGACATTTTATTTTATCTCCGTACTCTTCCTGTTCCAGTTTCCATATCAGTCATTTATGTGGCATTTCATGGAACGCCCTCCCCTCCCCCCCCTCTTTTTTGAAATCCGAGTAAGTATAGTCTACCCAGTCGTCTCGCAGTTGCAATATCTCGGCAACTCTGTCGTAAAAAACAGGGGAAGTTTTACGACACATGATGTACTCTCTTTGAATCCAAATTGGTTGCTTGATAACATGACGTGTTTCTCAAGTAGTTCGACTAATATTGTTTTCTTATCATTTATTCATTATTATTTTTTAAAATAGTTTTATTTCTTTTTTCATTTTTTTCCTTTTGTTGTATACGAATTAGTGACACGTGTCCATTATTCAGATTTTTTTTCGTTTTAATTTTCTTGATTTTTTCCATGAGAGTTGTTTGTCATCTCACGTTCTTCTATCGTCTTCGTTCAATCACTTTTGATATTTTATTAATTGGGGTTAGAATTTTTTCTACACCTTCATCATAGATTTCACAATGGCATGAGTATTTTACGTCTAGAATCTATGAACAAAGAACAAAGAACTTTCTTCGATTTGTTATAATTTCCTTTTTCTAAAAATTACATCTCTACCATTCCGAATGTTTCTTCAACATTTTGCGTCTGTGATAGGCAGTATCTGGGTTTCATTAAAATGATCGTTTTTCCCCGCAGGCTGTTAGCCTCCCAGATCCTTTTTATCACTTGCCATGAT